AAGAGAAAAAAATTAAAGGCATGTGCCATCACACCCAGCCTATTGATTTAATTTTATTTTTAAAGACAGGGACTCTTGTAGCCCAGGTTGGCCTTAGTGTGTAGTTGTGGATAACCTTGAACTTTGGATCTTCCTCTGTTTCTACCTCCCAAATGCTGGGATTACAGTTGTGCACCTTTATACCTGGGCCTTGTGCATGGTAGGCAAGCATTCTACCAGTTGAGTTACATCCCTAACCTTCAAGTTGAGCCTTGAAGGCTGAGTAGGACTTCTCTAAGGAGATGGGGATGGGAGGGGTAGGGATGGAGTATAGTTACAACTGTTCCAAATGCTATTCCTCTTCTGCAAGGAGATGGAAAAGTGATCCAGGTACTGTTACGAATCATTTTCTTCTATCAAATGAAAGATTTTCTTTAAGGTTTACTTATTTTGTACCATATGTATGTTTTGATTTTGTGTGTGTAAGTTTTTGCATTTGCCACAGTGTGTGTGTGTGTGTGTGTGTGTGTGTGTGTCAGAGAGAGAGGGAAAGAGAGAGAGGGAAAGAGAGAGAGAATAAATGACAGCCTACATAGGGGTTTGTTTGAATAAATTAATTTACTCATTAAATAGAGCATTAGTGAGCATTAAAAGCAGTTTGGGCTGAGGCAACAGGATTACAAGTTCAAAGACAAGATGGACCACCAAATGAGATCCTGTCTTAGAAAACAGATGATTGAGGGGCTGGAGAGATGGCTCAGGGGTTAAGAGCACTGACTGCTCTTCCAGAAGACCCAGGTTCAATTCTCAGCCCTAGAATGGCAGCTCACAACTGTCTGTAACTCCAAGATCTGACACCCTCACACAGACAGACATGCAGGCAAAACACCAACTTATAAAAATAAGTATAAAAATAATTTAAAAATAGCTGTTAGAATTCCCTATACCTATTAACTCAGTTTCAAATTCCAGTACACTGTATTACAGGATGTTGACATGGAAACCAAGGGACTGAACTTTCCCCTTCACCACGTTGTGTTATGTTGGAGTCATACCTGCTCATTTTCCCTGCCTTTCCATTAGCTCCCAGCGATCCTCAATCTGTTCTTTCTTTCTTTTTCTTTTTTTCATTTACTTTGTGCTGAATTTATTCCCAGGCTGTAAGTTTTTGTTATTTGTGTTTCTTCTAGGAAGTCTTTTTTCTTTTATTCAGCCTCCTCTTCTGGCTTAAACAGTTTGTTCCTTTTCAGTGAAGGGTCATCTCCGTGTGGCAGGGCAAGCTCATGTATGGGTTGCTATGATCGTGAGTTCTGAGGGTGGGTGCTTTGCTCACCTGGATGTGCCTAATGGGTGCACAATCCACAGCCAAACCCTTACATTGAGCATTGCTCTACATTGTTAAGCATGTGAAACAAAAATTCAGCAGTGCTTTAACTACCAACCCTGTCCAGTCCCACTGTTTGACCTGGGCATATCTACTGACTCCGCCATTATACTGACAGAGTGGCACGAATTGCCCCTTTAAAGTGATGTCTTTCAGATGTCATGTTTTCCCATGCAAACCCTGGATAGCCTGGGCAGATTCATGAGTGTTCTTAAAACGAATTCAAAGATTTAAACCTCTTGAACTGCATGATTGTGTAGGTTTCTGGGTCAAGAGAATAGTGAACTATTTTCACAGGTTGCCCACAGGAAGAGGGAGACTGTTTCTTTACTTGTTCATTCAAGAATATTACATAAATGGAGTTGTAGCTGTCTACCTTTTTTATTGTTTTGTTCCTAATCATAATTTTCTGGAGATTGCTAGTACAAATATAAGTACTTGTCTCCTTTTATTTCTGAGTAATGTTCTAAAATAATAGATTTACAAGTTTAACAGTTCACAGGACTGGAGAAATGATGACTCAACAGTTAGATAGAGCACTGGCTGCTCTTCCAGAGGACCTGGATTTGATTCCCGGCACCCACACTTTGCCTCACAATCACCTGTAACTCCAGTTCTAGGGGATCCAACAACCTCTGCTGGCCTCCTTTGTCATCGGGCATGCATGTGGCATGCAGATGTAGGGGCAGGCAGAACACCATATACATAAAATATTTTTTTAATAAACAAAAAATCCCACCAAATCCCACCAACTTTAACAATTTGCCTATTGGAGGGAAGCTTTCGGGGAGTGGGGTGATGCTGGGGATTAGTTGCAAGGCCTTATGCATGCCAGACAAGATCTTCATACTGAGCCATAACTATTAAGGATTTCTCTCCTTGTTGTTATTTTGAGACATGGTAGCCTAGGCTGGCCTTGAACTTGAGATTTTGTGTGAGTCTGTGCACGTAAGTACGGAGAGCATCTTGCCAGAGTGGTTTCCTTGTCTCCACCATGTGGGTCCAGGGGATTGAACTCAGGCCTTCAGGCTTAGCAGCAAGCACTTTTACCCCTGAGCCATTTCACTGACCCTGTTCCAATTTTAATATATGTACTGTCAAAATGAGCACTATTACAGTAATTCTGATAGACAGGTAGTGCTATTCAGTGTGATTTTAATGTGCATGTGCTTAAATTTAATTTTAATGATGTTGGATATATTTATATGTGCTTATTTGTCACCTGTATCCCTTCATCATTAGTAAAATGCCTCTTCATGGTTTCATCCAGGATGTAATGAAATGTTAGGGAATAGATTATATTTGTGAAAGATGTGGCCAGTATTTCTGTGCCTGTCATGTTGTTCATGTTGTGTGTCGGCCCCCCACACATGCACATGTTTCTGTCTGGCTGGTACTGGGCCATACTAGCTTCATCTAGTGAACGGTCATCTGTTGTCTGGGTGAGACTGTATAGAGTTGGCACTGCTTCTCCAGTCCATGAGCTGATCAGTGGAGAATTGCACCTGGAGAGCTGCAGACTCACGTTACACATTTTGGTTTGAGTGACTTGTAGTGATGGATGTTCTTTTTCTCAGTTTTAGGAATTGGTTCATTAAATGATCAAATTTATATTCAAAGTTGTTCATAGTATTACTTTATTCTTTTGATAGCTATGGGGGTTTTAGAAATAGCTGCTTCATTATCTTTTGGTGGTGGTGGGGTCTTTTGAAACAAGATTTTACTGTGTAGCCCAGGCTGGAACTTGGGATCTTCCCGGGTCTACTTCTCAGGTGCTAGGATTACAGAGTCCTCCACCCTGCCAGGTTTCATGAAATGTCAAAAACTGACCTTGGACTTTATCCGTCCTTGGTAGGCATTCTACCAAGTGCCAAGTGCATCTCCAGCACGTAAGTCCCATGGTTTTGTTGTTGTGTTGAGCTTTTTCAAGATAAAGTTTCTCTGTGTAAGGCCTGGCTGTCAGGGAATGAACTCTGTAGATCATGTTGTCCTCAAACTCTGCCTCCCAAGTGTTAGGACTAAAGACATGCATCACCACGCCTAGCTTAATCAAGACAGTTTCTCATTGAGCCTTCTTTCCCAGGTGATTGTAGATTGTGTCAAACTGACTATTAAAACCAGCATCACAGTTTTACAATCTGCTCTCCTCCTTACTGACTGCTAAGATTAATGTGTACCTAACAATTGTCTCAATTTTCTTGAGTAAGATTGGTGGTGCGTGCCTCTAATCCCATCACAAAAACAGGTAGATCTCTGTTCGTTCAAGGCCAGCTTGGTCTGCATAGCAAGTTTTAGGCAACATAGTGAGAACTAACTTGTCTCAAAAAGATGTGTGCTACCATACCTGCCATACTATTTTTTTTAAAGGACAGATAAAAGTCTATGTATATTTGAGATATGGATATAGTGTGGAATGATGCAATCCAGCTAACCAGCATAGGCACAGGTGAGAACCTGGGGTAAGGATGCTGGAGAGGTGGCTCATCATTTACTGGCTGCTCTTACAGAGGACCTGGGTTTGGTTCCCAGCACCTCCACGGAAACTTACAACTGTCTGTAACTCCAGTTCCAGGTGATTTGATGTTCTCTTCTGGCCTCCAAGGGCACTGCACACAAATGATGCACACAAAATAAAAATATCATCTTTAAACAAATGAACTTCTGAGGGTGGAGTAAAGTGCTTGCCATGCAACCCTGAGGACCGAGTTTGACTCTTGGTGGTCACACGTGGCTATCTGTAATCGCTGCTGCTAGAGGCAGAGACAGGAGGATCTGGGGGTGCTTTACTGGCTTTCCAACCTGGCCAAATTGGTGAGACCCAGGTTCAGTGAGTTAGCTTTATCTCAAGAAATGAGGTGGTATAGGCCTCTGTGAATTCAAGGACAGTCTGCTCTAAATAGTGAGTTTCAGGACAGCTAGAGCTCACAGTGAGACCTTGCCAGGGTCTGGGAGAGGGTGAGGAAAATACCTGATGTTAACCATTTTGTTTCTTTGTTTGCTGTTTGCTTGCTTTGTTTTTCGTATAAGTCTCATTTATACACTCCCAGCTGGCTAGTCTCAAATTGATGGGCCTCAGCCTAAGTGTGTGTGTTTGTGTGTGTGTCCATTCCCAACTTGGAATTCAGGATCTTATTGTTGGGTTCCAGAGGATATCCTAGGCTTCAAAAACTATCAGGCTGGTTGTCAGGAGTAGAAATTCTGGCATCAAGAGCTGAGTGCATTCATGTATACCTGTAATCTCAGCATGGGGGAAGAGAGGACAGGAAAATCAGCAGTTCAAGGCTATCCTGGGCAACATGAGATCCAGACTGCAAACGAACAAGAATTCTGGCTTAGAGATGACAGCCTGGGGATAATTTCTTTGTTCTCTGGGGAAAGAGAATTGATAGCCTGTGCTCTTGTGATCTGGGAATCTTTTACGGTAGGTCCCTGGGGCCACATGGAACTACATGCTTGTATAGTCAATATCAGGTGTAGTGGCCTGTCAGAGACATGCCAGTATCCAAGCCAAGAGCATTTCTTTGGACTTGTCTGTGACTTGGTGATAGACAAGGCCTGCCAGAGAGTATACATTAGCTGGTTGTTCTTGAAGGCGGTAAAGGTGAGGGGTCACTGTCCCTGTTGTTGTCATTATTAGGGCAGCGTGGACATTCTCAGGCTGACCCTCCAGAGTGAGCTGACAGGAGATGAACTTGAGCACATAGCTCAGAAGGTATCATGGTGTCTTTTGGGGCAAGGCCTCCTCTCAGCCAGTTCTTCCTTGCTACTGACCCCAGTGTTGCCTGGAGCCTCGTCTGTTGCTGCAAACCTGGGAGCATCTCCTTTCAGGCCCACCAGCTAGCTCAGCCCAGTGCTTTGGGAAGTGGGAGACCCCACTAAAATGAAAGCTAAATTAGTTTTCTACTAACCTTCTCTGCCCTGTGTCCTTGTTGCTGTATGGCTGCTCTTGGGTGCGGGCAAAGAAATGAGATTGAAGCTCCGCGTTGGGCTCTGTGTGGGTCGAGGGCAGGAGGTCCTGGTTGCTGTGTGCTTTCTGAGTCACTTCTCTTGGTCTCTCCGGCAGGCGGGCAGGAAGACTTACGCCATGGTGTCTGATCGCTTCTCTGGTCATTCTCTGGCTTCAGAACTGGTGGAGTCCCATGATGGACATGAAGAGATCATTAAGGTGAGTTTAGTCCACTTTTCCTTTTTCTTTCTGCCCCCACCCTCACCCCTGCCCAGCAGGTACACCGAGAGAGCTGCCAATTGACAGCTTATACACCCACTGGGGAGATGAAGGAGATGCTAGCTCCTGGTGATCTCCTGCAGGGTCCTAACACCCAGAGTCCAGCCTGCAGTGAACAACTTTGGCCCAGCCTGGCCCAAGCATGGGCATGAACAGGTTTCCTTCTTTTTAAAAAAAAATAACTTTAGAAGAAGCTGGAGAGTTGACTCAGTGGTTTAAGAGTGCTTACTGCTCTTGTAGAGACCCGAGTTAGGTTCCCAGCACCCGTGTCAAGTGGCTCAAAACTGCCTGTAACTCCAGCACCAGGGAATCTGATGCCCTCTTCTGGTCTCCCCAGGCAACTGCATTCATGTGCAGTCTCCTGAAGCATTCACTTATATTGTTCTATTATTAATAAAAACTCTAGAAGAGGGGAAGAAGGGACCAGTGACCCTCTCTCTCTCTCTCTCTCTCTCTCCCCTTCCCTGATCCAAAAGGACCCACGTGAATCTTTCTTTTTCCTTTTCCTTTTCCTTTTCTTTTTTTTTTTTTTAAGATTTATTTATTTATTATGTATACAGTGCTCTGCCTACAAGCCAGAAGAGGGCACCAGATCTCATTACAGATGGTTGTGAGCTGCCATGTGGGTGCTGGGAATTGAACCAGGGACCTCTGGAAGAGCAGCCAGTGCTCTTAATTGCTGAGCCATCTCTCCAGCCCTTCTTTACATTTCTTTATGAATTTTATCCTCAGTTTACCAGTTTCTGCAAAGAAGCCAGCTAGAGTTTCAGTAGGAATATGTTGAATCTGTTGGTCAGTTTGGGAGGGATTGCTGTCTGAGTCTTCCTGTAAAGAAAGAAAGATGGAGTAAACCACAAAGTTAACTTTTAAAGGTTTTCTTTACTATCTTTATAGTAAATTTCAAAATAGAAAACTTGAATTTATTTTGCTATTTAAAAATATTTATTTTAAATGTATTTGTTTTATTCTATGTGCATGAGCATTTTGCTCACATTTATGCCTGTACATGATGTGGGTACCTGATGCCCACATAGATCAGAAGAGGCATCGGGATCCCCTAGAACTAGAGCTACAGATGGTTTGTGTTGCCATGCTGAGAATCAAACCTGAGTCCTCTGCAAGAGCAAGGATTATCAGTCATTGATCTATCTCTCCAGACCTTTATTTTGCTATTGTTTGAGATAAATAAGGCCTTACATTATGGGGCAGGCTAGCTTGGAAGTTGTTATATAACTCTCTTCCTGCCTCTGCTTCCTAAGTGCTGGGTTTAAAGTCATGCCACTATATCCATCTTTGGAATATATATGTTTTTCTTTTTTGGTTTTTTGAGACAGGGTTTCTTTGACTGCCCTGAAGCTCACTTTGTATACTACTCTGATTTCAAACTCACAGAGATCCACCTGACTCTGCCTCCTGAGTGCTGGGATTAAAGGCATGTGCCAGAATGCCTGGCTTAGGATCTATTGTTGTTATTGTTGTTGTTGTTATTATTATTATTATTATTATTAATTTCCTTAAAATAATGGAGTTTTATTTTTTATTTATTATTTGGGAATCTTACATCATGCACCCTGATTGTGCTCACCTCCCAGTCTTCCCATGTGCCCCCTTCCCCTGTAACTCCCCCCAAACAAGTCCATTTTTGTTGTCCATATATTCACTGGGCATGTTCAAATCCTAATGTCCAGCCCCTGAGGGAGAATGAATCTTCTCTACCTACATCTGTGCCAGAAGCCATGACTGAGTAGAGCTGAGCAGTGCCCAGAGTGGTTCCTGGAGTGCTGCCTGTGTCCATGTCATCACCTGTGTGGCCGTGCTGTGGGCCAGCAAGGGTTGGGGCCAGCGCTCCCTCACCACAGACATGAACATGGCTTCAGGTGTCAGCCCAGATCCCAGGCATCAAATGGGCTTTGGTGGTGAATGTGGCCCTTGGTCTTATCAGGACCACTGACCCACTCGTGGCTCTCAGTGACTTCAGGGACCACAAGCCTCAACATGGTGGTCTCTGGTGGTTACACATGCCACTCAAATCAGCGTGGCTCGCTTGGGTGAGTTTCTGCCGCCTGGTGGCCACAGGGCCTCTATTAGTATTTTTAAGATAGGATTTCATTTTGTAGTTCAGACTAGCCTGGAACTCCTGCCTCAACCTCTAGGATTACAAGTATGTGCTACCACACACAGCTGCAAATGGATGGAATTTTGTTCACTATTTTATTTATTTATTGTGTGTACATGTACCTGTATATCTGTGCACATGTGCAAAGGCCAGAAGAGGCCTTTTGCATCTCTTCTGTCATTATCTGCCTTTTCCCTTGAGGCAGGGGTCGCTCCATAAACCAAAGGCCTGTCCCTTCTCAGATAGACTGGAAGTCTCCAAGGTCTGGGGATTTTCCCATCTCCACCACACTTGCAGCTGGGTCACAGGCACTTATGGGGGAAGCCAGCTTGTTACTCTGGTGCTGGAATCTGAACTCCAGTCCTCATAATTTCAGAGAAGTGCTCTTAACTATTGAGCCGTCATCTCTCCAGCTCCTCAATGAGGTTTCATCTTTGGATTGCTAATTGCTAAGATGTAGAAAGACAATCATTTTGCACATTGAGATGTTGCCCTTCAGCCTCGTTGCTCTAGGTTTGTCATTCTGTGGGGTTCCTTCCCCTTCCTCTACGAAAGGTTATGTCATCTGCAAACAGGCATTGTTTTACTTCTTCCTTTCCAAGCTGGATGCCTTTAATTACTTTATTCATTTTCCTTATTCACAGTAATTGTATGCCTCTTGAAGAAGGCAAAGCTACCCCATAATCTAGCTGGGTAACTATTGTAAACATCTTGTTGTATACCCTCCCAGACATACAGACATATGTGCTTTTTATTTTATTTATTTATTTGGTTTTTCAAGACAGAGTTTCTCTGTATTGCTTTGGAGCCTGTCCTGGAACTAGCTCTGTAGACCATGCTGGCCTCAAACTCAAGAGATTCCTCTGCCTCTGCCTCCCCAGTGCTGGAACAAAAGGGGTGTTCCACCAAAGCCATTTGTGCTTTAAAAAAAAAAAAGAAAATGGAATTGTGAATGACACATTGTAACATCTTCTGTGTCTATAAGTATCTGGCATCTTAATGGAGACATAATATTCCACTAAATACATAACTATAATTTATTGAATTACTTATCCAATGTTGGACATTTTGTTTATTTGACTCCCCCACATCCCCCAGGTTTTCAAGACAGGGTTTCTCTGTATTGCTTGGGAGCCTGCCCTGGAACTTACTCTGTAGAACAGGCGGGCCTCGAACTCACAGAGATCCGCCTGCCTCTGCCTCCCAAGTGCTGGGACTAAAGGTGTACGCCACCAATTCCCGGCCTATTTGTCTTTTGCAACCACATCTAATACTTGGCTGAATGTAGATGCCACTAAGTGTATGTATTCTGTCAGTCAGGGCTGTTTCATCAGCTGGAAGAGGCTGACGTGTGCCAAAGAGACCTCTTCCGATGGGAACTGCATGATTGGCTCAGAGTGCAGCTTTCCACTTTTCCATCAAGTAAATGGCGTGGTTGAGTGTTTATGCCAGGATGGTTGTGTGTGGTTTAGCTGAACTTGTCAGGATAACTTTCTAGAAATAGATTAAATAGGTCCAAGAGTAACACATTTTGGGTCTGGTCTGGCGCTCAGTTGGTAGTGCTTGTCTAGCATGCATGAAGACCTGAATTTGGTCCCAGCACTGCTGAATTACCAAATTGTTACCTGGTAAGTTGATGGTAACAGTAGTTCCTTTGTCCTGGGTATGGGGCTGTGTGTTCCTTAACTAAACAGTGCTGTCCTTATTGCAGGTGTACTTGAAAGGGAGGTCAGGAGACAAGATGATCCACGAGAAGAGCATCAACCAGCTGAAGAGTGAGGTCCAGTACATCCAGGAGGTATGGACCCTTTCCTTGGAGAGAGCACCTAGACCCCTGGAACCTTACGTTTTTGGGGTTCCCTTTATGGGTTCTGTTTGGTTTTTTGTTTTGTATTTTTTCCCCCTATTCCTTTTATGTCACTGAAATGCCCATGACCTCCTATGTGTAAAATAGTATTTGTTTATCGATTTCTATTTGTTATCTGTTTTTTGAGACAGTATCTCCCTATGGAACCCTGGCTGCCCTGGGATTCTTTGTGTAGACCAATTCCTGCCTCTGTTTCCTAAGTGCTGTCAAATAGCACTTTTGATCTTTTGGATCTAACCCATTAATCAACAAATAACCAAATATCCTGCACCCGGCCAACTCTATGAGCTGTTTGGTCTATGTGGTTAGTCATCTTCCCCAGTGTTTCCCAGCTCCTGCCTGGCTTATGCTTCTCCTTAGCATTTACCACTGGATTCCACACTACATATTTTATTTGTCTTTTGCGTCATGTGTCTTTTCAACCAGCAAGCATGTCAATGCTGCCCTGAAAGGGGATTAATTTATCTTGTTGCTTGTACAGGAGAGACTGAGATGCCACCCCACCTGAGCACAATTCCTCTGTCTGCAGCCACTGTGTAGCACAATGCCACACTGAAAGTAGTTTGGGTTGGGGATGTGACCCAAAGGTTTGCTTTCCCTGCCCTGAGTCTCAAATGTCTTGGCTCTCTTTTTCCCAGGCCAGGAATTGCTTGCAGAAGCTCCGGGAGGACATAAGTAGCAAGCTTGACAGAAGTCCAGGAGACCCTCTGCAGCAGCAGGAGATACAGGTACTTTGGAATGGTGCTGTCTCTCAAGCCATGACCAGGAAGAGAGCATAGAGGGGAATCTGGCTTCCTAAGAACTCACAGAAACAGGGTTTCAAACCAGCACTTGTAGTTTTGGACAATCACTTCTTGTAAGTTGATCTTGCAAAACTTGGGTGAGCCTGAGTAGAAATGGCAGTTTTGTTTTGTTTTTTAAATAAAGATTTATGCAGGATGGTAATAGCACATGCCTTTAGTCCCAGCACTCGGGGAGGGAGTGACATGTGGATCTCTGTGACATGAGGCCTACAACATGAGTTCCAGGACAGACTCCAAAGCTACAGAAAATCCCTGTTTCAAAAAACCAGAAAAACCAACCAACCAAACAAACAAACAAACAAAAAAAAACAAAAAAGGATTTATTGCTTGTATGTTTATTTACTTACTTGAGACAGGTTTTTCTATGTAGCCTTAGCTATCCTAGAATTCACTATGTAAACCAGGATGGCCTGGAACTCACAGATATCCTCCTGCCTCTGTCTATGAAGTGCTGGGATTAAAGGTGTATGCCACCACACCCAGCTAAGAGTTTTTATTTTTATTTTATGTGTATGAGTGTTTGCCTGTCTGTGTGTATATGTACCATGTATGTGCCTAGTGTTCCAGGAGGCCAAGAGCGTCAGATCCCTGGAACTTCAGTTCCAGGTGGTTATGAGCTGCCATGTGGGTGCTGGGAATCACAGCCAGGTCCTCTGGAAGAACTGCCATCTTTCCAGTCCCAAAGTGGAAATCGTGATCCAGTCCATTATTTGTGTATGCAGTTATCTCAGTCCTGGGCTGGGAAACTCCATCCTGTCCCTGTGTCCTTAGTCTGGCAGAGATGTAGGATGCAGAGAGAAGTATCAGCAATGTTGGAGCAAACACTGTATAAATCTTCTCCGAGAGGGTAGTGTGGTATTCTGCTGTCCAGTGTTTTCAAAGTTCCAGGACAGGAATGTTCTAAGAAGCAGAGCAAGCTCCTCCTGACTTCTCTCTTGGGCTCCTGAGATCTGAGTTATGTCTCCTTCATTTCCCTTTTGGTTTGAGCCAGATGGTCTTTCCCCAGCAGCCGCCTCCCTGTTCTGAAAGGTATACTGGCCTAGCAGCTGGTGCCAGAAGAGCTCCTCCTTGTCTAGACTGGGTTTCACGTGCTGGATGTTTCCAAATTTACTTTTCTTTGGCTGAAAGTGGCACTATCGAGGCCTGATGTCACACCTGGATGGTGGGAGGCACCTTGTTGAGTGGCACCAGAACCTTTTGCGCACAGTCAGGCCACAAAGCCCAGGCCCCTTGTTGGCACAAATCAGCAGTCACGTGACCAACAGTCTGGCTTCAGGTTAGACAGAATTGTAGCAAAAGTTTTTTCTTCTCTTGATTACACTTTGTCAAAACCTGTCAGGATCCTTACTGAAAGGGAAGAGCAGTGTTTATGGCAAGCAGTGGCTTGCATTCCTGGGAGGGATGTGCCTCCCACATCTTCCAGTCCGCTGCAGCCTTTAGCCTGCCATCTATCATGCACCCTGCAGGCTGTAGTTCCCTCTCAAGGCCATCTTGCTACCCTCTACGTTCTGTTTTCTCAGGAAGCACTGAAAATCTATCTCCCTTGCTCCTTTCTTCTCTTCCTTTTCCTACTTCTTTCCCCCTTCCCTTTCTGTAAAAGATAAAATAAAAATGTTTTTACATTTATTTTACATGTGAGCATGCACACATGTGGAGTGTGGGTATGCATGCACTCATGCCATGACACACATGTGGATGTTGGGACAACTTGTTGGAGTCAGTTCTCTCCTCTGCCAAGTGGGTTCTGGGGATTGAACTGGGATTGTCAGGTTTGGTGGCAGGTACCTCTGAGCCATCTCACTGGTCAATAGGCTTTGACATCTTAGAAATATAATGCATCAGAATTGTTTGCCTGGCTGGTTAAATTGTTTTTAACTCCTGATTTTATTTTTCTTTACATAGGTGGTACTAGAAAAGCCAAATGGCTTTGGTCAGGGTCCCATGACTCTCTACAGCAGCCCATCTGAGGTAGGTAACAGGGGAGACTGTGGTGAGCAGAGCTTAACTGAGGGGCGGCATCCCATGTTTCCTGGCTGTCCTATCTCATTTACTTGATATAAAAATCTAACAACAGAGACAGGGAAGTGGAAATTCATTGCTTAGAAGTAGCCACTGTCTGCAGACTGAAGTGGATGGATCCTGGAGGACATCTCTGCTTGGCTGCCCCTTGAATGAGCCTTAGGAGGTTTAAAGGAGATGCCTGAATCCCATCCCTGGAGATGTAGAATCATTGTTCTTAGATGTTCGTGCATGTTTTTCCAGTGTATGTATGTGTACCGCATGTGTGCCTGGTCCCCACAGAGCATGAAAGGGGCTGTTGGATGCCCTGGACCTAGTGTTACAGTTTTGAGCCGTCATATGGGTGTTGAGAACTGAACTTGGATCCCCTGGAAGAACAGGAAGATCTTTTTTGTTTGTTTGTTTTTCGAGACAGGGTTTCTCTGTAGCTTTGGAGCCTGCCCTGAAACTGGCTCTATATACCAGGCTGGCCTTGACCTCACAGAGATCTGCCTGCCTCTGCCTCCCAAGTGCTGGGATTAAAGGCTTTACGTCTTTCCATTTTCGTCCATAGAACTTCATTCTCCTCTGTTACTGTGCTTTTAAAAAATGATACTTGCTACCCTGTGTGATTAGATAGTTAGTGTCTTAGGGTTTCTATTGCTGTGAAGAGACCTCATGACCAGAAAAACTATTAGAAAGAAAACATTTAATTGAGGTAGCTCACTTACAGTTTCAGAGGTGCAGTCCATTATCATCATGGCCTGCAGGCAGACGTGGTGCTGGCTACATCTTGATCAGAAGGAAACAGGAAGTAGATTGAGGCACTGGAACTAGCTTGGGCATTTATGAGACCTCAAAGTCCACCCCTACAGTGACACTTCTTCCAACAAGACCATTCCTACTCTACAAAGCCACACCTCCTAATAGTGCCACTCCCTAGGAGCTTATGGGGACCAATGACATTCAAACTACTATAATAAGATATACTAACTATTGAAAATCTTGGAAGTTCAGAAACAGAAAAATAAAAGAAGGCCAGGCTTTGGTGGCACACATCTTTAATTCCAGCACCTCGGAGGCAGAGGCAGGTGAATCTCTGTGAGTTCCAGGCCAGCCTGGTCTACAGAGCCAGTTCCAGGACAGGCTCCAAAGCAATACGAGAAACCCTGTCTCAAAAAACCAAAATAAATAAATAAATGAAGAAAAAAAAAAAAAAAAAAAAAAAAAAAAAGAGGAGCATTTTAATCTCTGCGTTGGTGGCAGCAGTAGCCTGTAAGCATTCTGAGGGCTTCACCTCCTCTTAGGGATTGTCACTGAGGAGGAAAAGCCAGCTTCTTGACTACATTAATCCCAGGATGGGTCTGAGTGAAACGAAGTTGGCAGTTTATTAGTAAAGATCAGGGATAGTACATGTTTCAGATTTCACTGTAGGGCATCAGAGGGTAAGCTAGAGGCTTAGGAAAGTACAGCCCAGGCTTCGTTAAAGGGGCCCTCAACTTAGGCCTTTTTCAGTGGCACTTTGTGATCTTGTAGCTTTCTAGATTACATTGCAGAAAGGATGTAATTTACAACACGGTTTGAAAACGAAACAAAACTTAAGTTTTAAGTTTAAAATTAAGTAAAAATATATGAGCTGATCTATTTCTTGTCTTAAAGAATTTCTTTTTATAAACGAAATTGTCAGGTGATTTAAAGCACAGCTTTTTATGGTTTTTTTATTTATTGTGTGTGTGAACTTGAGTGTGTGTGTATGTGTGTGTGCGTGCATGTGAATGCCTCCAAATGTGTGTGGAGGTCAGAAGACAGCTTGAGGGAGATGGCCCTCTCCTTCCACAGTGTGGGTTCCAGGCTCCGGTCATGAGCCAACTGGTCACCCTGTAAGGCGATTTATGAGGTATATTGGCAGGGTGTTTGGGATGAGAGGAGAGATAATATGGTCATGTTTACAACATTTTGGCCCAAAATAAGCTTAGTTCTTTTGTTGTTTTTAGTGTCCTCGTTTAACGCCCTCTTAGGAAACCTGGCAGTGTGTCTAAGCACCCTTGGCGTTATCAGTGCTGCTCACGGTTTTGTCTCCCAGCCAGATTTCAGAATGTGGGGTTTCTTTCTCTTCCCATGACCCCTCATTTTTCCTGTCTCTCTATCCAGTCTCATCTCCAGAGAGAGACAAGTTAGACTTAGGTGAAGTTTTCTCTGACTTTTCATCCATGCAAATCAATTTTGAGATTGCACCACACACCACATTTCTTTGTTTGCCTGCTGTTTCTTTGTTTGTTAGTTTTGTTTTTAAGGGTTTCTGTCGGTTTGGTGCTGAGAATTGAACCTGGGTCTCTTCAGCAATTATGGCCTCCACCACTAAACTGCACACCCAGCCCCAAGGACAATTTTTTTTGGGTTGGGCTTTTTGGCCTTCATGTATGGAACTGAATCACATCTATCCATTAGTCACAGTGTATCATGGGTCCAAGGCCTGTCGCTGATCGTACTGTCTTTTCTTCTTTTCCCACTAACTATGAAATACTCGATATATGACTTTAAGTAAAGCCACTGTAAAGTGATCTTAGTTTATATAATGGGCTTGTATCTTTTAAATCATTTTGCTCAAAATACGTTTTTAGGGTCTATTTGTATTACTGTATGAAAATCTGGTTTGTCGAGTCACAAAGGAAGGCATATGCCGGTAATCTCAGGACTTGGGAGACTGAAGCAGAAGGGCCAATGTCTGCTTGAAGCCTAGTCCTTCTCACATGTAGTTTTATAACTGCCTTTTATTGTTGTGTTATATTGTATTACATGATAAAATCAGTCTCTCGTTCCCTCTCTAGAGCTTGGAATTAAGCCCGGGGAATTAAACCCCTTACACACGTTAAGCAAGCAGTCTGCTACTGAGCTGAACATATTTTAATTAATGAAAAGACTCTCCATGTCATGGAAAGGGCCTTGCAAGCAGACAGCTGAAATAAACGTGCCAGGGCTGTATCCCAGGAGCCTGTTGCAGTGTTTCCCTTTGGCCTAAGTCCTTGAGTGAGGCTAGTGAGGAACTGACAAAGCGACTTAATTAACCATCCAGGTTCAGTTGTTCCTTTTCCGTGGAGCGCCATATTTGGCAAAGAAGTTATTGGTAACAAATTATAGTAGCACCTGGCAATGTCTGCCTATATTCTTATAAGCTTCAAGCCTCTCCAGGTATTGCCTTCCCAACTTTGGAAACAGCCTATGAGGCAGGGCGTGGTGAGGAGGCTTCCCCATTTCACCCACATAGAAATGGAGGCCCACAGGAGCCAGGAAGGATGCAAAGGCTGGGAATGTCTCCCTTCACCCAGCTGAGAATTGTGTGTGTGTGGGGGGGGGCGGTCAAGGTCTTGCTGCTTCCTACTGTGCAAGCCCAGGAGAGTCTGTGCCAACCCCAGGAGTTATTATGCAGGGTTTCCTGCCTTCGCAGCAGAAATGAGAGCGAGACCCTGCACGTCTGCTCAGCCTTACCACCAGCCCACGGCTGGGTGTGTCTGGGAGGGACGGCTAGCATTCACCTTAGTGAAACACCCTTTTCTTCACCACATCAGAGCTGTGTGCTTTTGCCCTGACCCTGTCTATCCAGCAACAGCCTTTTCCATGGGGATCTGTGAGTGAGTCGCGAAAACAGCAAAAGATGTGGGCCAAATAAGTCTCCTCCAGAAGGGAGCAAAGTCATTGCTCTCAGAGAACTCTACTCTGAACCTGGGGCTGGTAGTTCCTACCTTTAATCCAAGCCAAGGAAGGCCAAGGGAGGATTGCCACAAATTTGAGGTCAGGCTGGGATTATATATAGTGAGTTCCAGATCAATCTGGGCTACAGAATGCGACCTTATGTCAAAACAACAACAAAGCATTCTAATCTGGAAGAAGATAGGGTATGCTCATAAAGATAGCACACACACACACACACACACACACACACACACACACACTGTGAAGTCATTCTGCTGAGCCATGGAGATGATCAGATAACACTGCTTGTAGCCAAGTCTGGGTTTGTCCTGAAGCCCCTGAGACCCACTTGATGGAAGGAGGGGGCCTCCTCCATATGTGTTCAGTGGCACACACACTGCCACCCCAACACAGAAGATACGTGTAAAAAATTGAAGACATCATTTATTTGATGGGATACTCCCTTAACCTAGAGACAGAGTCCTAGTCCCTACTCCAAATGACTTGACAGATTTAGATGACCCCACCTGGGTGGCATCACCCTACATGTGGAGTGGGGGGAGGGGGCTGGGAGGGGAGGGTGGCCTGGGTGCATGTGAGGGTGAGAGAGAGGGAAAGAAGGGGGGGAGGGAGGGAGAGAGAAGGAACTGGGATCGATATGTAAAATGAAAATTAAAAAATTAAATAATATATTAAAAAACAAGAAAAAATAACTTTTAATTTGTATCAATAAACCAAAATACATACCAATGTAAAATACTTTGAGATTAATAATTGTTTTTTGGATTAAACTAGATTCAATAATCTATTTTTTAAAAAAAAAATTACTGTGTCCTAAATGGTTGAGTGACTTGAGACTGGCCGAATCCCTTAGGGATCAAAGGAGAATGGTTTTGTTTGTCCTGTGCCCGGTGTGATGCTAATTCTTTTGTGAGGGTGGTCCCCACAGGTGGTGCAAATCCCAGTGCTGGGCAGGGAGGGGACCTTCTCTCACCAAGTCAAAGATGTGGCAGCAGCTTTCCTTTCCTTTCTCTGCTCCTGTTCTAGGCTGACACCTGCATGACTGAAGATGTCGAGAGCTTGAAGAAGACTGTGCAGGAATTGCTTGCCAAGCTGCAGGAGGCTGAACGGCGGCACCAGTCCGACCGCGTGGCTTTTGAGGTAAGATCTGGGATCCCAGATGCAGTGCAGTGACTTTCTCAGCATGGACTTCATCTTTCTGGGTGGATCATGGAAGTGCAGTACTTTGAAGCCTTGCACACCCCCTGTCTGCCTCTGCCTCCGCTTTCCTTGAATGTTCAAGTGTCTGTTGTTCAAATCTGGTCGTAGATCAGGGACAGGTCTTTCCTTTGTCTTTCCCTACAGTGCTGAGGACATGCCTTCGTTGTGTATGTTTGGCAGTGCTCTGCCTCTGGGCTTCCTGGCTAGCCTTTGAAGGCTGAGTCTTGCTTCTCTGATTTACCGAAGTTGAGTAATACTTCTGGTCTGGGACTGCAGATAATTCATAAGTCATTGCTGTGTGTACCATAATAAGAATCACGGGACTGTTACTATCACATTCACAGAACCCCAGTGCCTGGTATAAAACATGACGTAAGGAAGGTCTTTCATAAATATCAGCTGAGTGAGTGAGTAAATCTGTGTTGTCAAAGAAATAGCTATGCTGGTGAACACACAAGGCTTTGTCACCTTTATTATTGTTACAGTTGATTTTTTTTTCTTAGATTGTATTTGTTTTATATGTATGGCTGTTTTGTCTATGTGTATGTGTATCACATGAATGCCTGGTGCCGGAGAAGGTCAGAAGGGAGCGTCAGATCCCCTGAACTAGAGTTCTAGATAGCTTTAGGCTGCCAGGTGGATGATGGGAATCAAGCCTAGGTCCTCTGGAAGAGCAGCAAGCCCTCTAATCCACTGAGCTATCTCCAGCCCCTGTTGTTTTCTCATGTAGCCCAGGCTGGCTTTGAAAAACTCCTGATTCTTTACCTTCCCCAAACCTGGATTGTTTGATTGGTTGATTGATTGATTTTGTGGTCCTGGAGAGGAATGCACCCTAGGCAGACATACTACCAGTGAGGTACATTTCTGACTCTGTAGTTGATTTTGTAAAAAAGTTATGTGTATTTATTCATTTATTCAGTCAGTCGGTCGGTCATTTGTGCGGTAGTTAGAGGATACTTGACTGCCATGACATGTATTTGGAGTCAGTTCTCTCTTTCCACCTTGTGGGTCCTGGGGATTGAACTACATTTACACTGCTGAGCCATTTTACCAGCCCAATCCCCACCCCCAGTAATCTAGATTGTTTTAGGAGAATTTTTTTTTAAAGTCTACAAACAAGAAAAGCCCCTTTCTATTAAGAGTGTGCAAGGTCTTCAGTTCACCGTGGAAAATTCTTTGCATATATAATGAAGTGCACCGGGCAGTTTTCTGTCTGTTCTGGTGGCATTTATCCTTCTGTTACCTGGTTTTGTTCACCCACAAATAAAATATATTATGATAGGATTATATTCATCACAGCACACTGGAAACTTGTGGAAGGAGAAAGACCAGCCTGAACTCTTTCATGGAGCTAGAAAACTTTTTGTGTTTTTCTTCCTTGTGGGCGGTTGGCAGTGCCCATGTGGAGGTTTGGCTTCTCTTTGTTGGAGTTGGTTCCTTCCTCCCCCTTTATGGCTCCCTGGCATGAAACTCAGGTCTCCCAGGCTTGGTGGCAAGCACCTTTACCTGCTGAGCCATCTACTACTGACCCTAAACAAGGGGAGTTTTGAGAGGCGGTTTGAGGATGAAGAAGATAGCACTGAGCCTTGGGGTTAAGGAATTTGAGCCGTGACACAGCTTCCCTTTGAGCTGACTGGGGTTGTTTGGAAGGATTCATGACCCACCTACCGACTGTGTGAGGTTGTGTGTGAGCATTTGTCTCAGGTGGGCCCAGAAAAGGGAGACAGGCTTTGTTTTCCTAGGTGCTGGGTTTCCTGCTATACATAGTTTGACTTGGAACAGTTTTAAGACCAGTTTGTGAGCAAAAGCAGCCATTTGGTCAAGGAGTTCCCAGACAGTTTCCTGTGGCACAGTTTAGATAATCTGGTTATTTATGTTTGATGACCACCTATTTCCTCTATTCTCTGGAAGAAATACAAGGAAAGGAGGTTGACGCTGTAGCCCTGGGCAGGTTTAGGATCTTAGAAGGCCTTGAGAAGTTGAGGCATTCCAGACATGCTTGTCATTCCTGACTGTGGTGGAGCCTGCAGCCCCTAAGGAAGAACTGCCTGGCCGTAAGCTGCAGGCAGCAGTTTGGGGTGGTGGGATTGCCTCCCTCCTTACCCATCTGAGGCAGGTGCCCCTCAGGTCAGGTTCCTTCCTGTGTGAACAGGGCAGGCGGAGATGCTGGGACAGATTCAGAAAACAAGTCTGGCCTGTTGTTGTTTTGTTTTTTTCATTTAGGCCTGTTGGTTGCTGTGGGTTTGTTTTTGTGTTTCTGTGATTCTATGGTAGACACTGGATTTAGATCATGGCTCTGTTACTCTGCTCTGGCACACATCAGCCTGAGCGTGATGTCAATGTACTGAGATGAGAACCCTTTTTCTAAGGTCCTGCTCAAGAAGCTGCCCTCTTTTAGGCTAATATACCTTATTGAGGGTGTTTCTTAAACTCTCCTGATGAATGAGATTTGTTCAGTCTGCTTTTCTGGACCTAGGAGTATGAAGGGCAAGATTGACAACTATCAAAGTATCGCCTGCCATTAAGCATGGGTTCCTTATTCTACTAGCTGCCTGCTGTCAGGAGGAAATTTGCAGTGAATTTGCTTGGCTAGGACAGGTCCCATCATACACTTTCTGTGCTGGGCTTTCTCTTCCCTGATTCTGAGATTAGAAAAATCCAGACAAACTGGCTGCTTTCTGTCTGTCATCTACCACAGAGTTTATCTGGATTCTCTTTTATCAAATGATAGGTGTCCGGGGTGAGTGGGAAGCAGAGAAATGGATGGTGACGTTTTGGTGGTTGCATGGACCCTGGCATTCTCTAGTTTGATTTGTGGCAGGGAGAGTATGGACTAGATGAACACCAGTTCCGCCCCAAACTGTCCAGCAGTTGCTGCAAGTAAGGAATCTGTGGCTCTTTGGAAGTGTGGAAGGACCCCAGGCCTGAGTGGCATGAACTTGAACAGGACCTGCTCAGGGCTAGGAGGATGTTTAGAAGGGATATCTGTGAGACTTGAGGAGTAAACAGGAGTTGGTGAGCTGTAGGAAGAGGAAACAAGGCAAGTTCTTTCTTTCTCATTCTAACGATTGAAAACTCTGCTGTTCTTTCCAAAGTGCTTTCTCATCTGCTGAAGGGTAGATTCTGCGTGCTGCAGCACCTGCTCAGGCGCTGTGCTGGTCTTGGTGTGGAGCTGGAGGAGTGGGGAGATGGCCGACTAGGAGCGTGTCTCCTGGGATATTTGCTTCTGATTAGCAGGGAAGCCACAACATTGGGTTAAGCTTGGTCAGCACTGGAGGGGTTGTGGAGGTGTTGAAGATGTCGTCCGGGAATCTTGATGAACTGTGTGCCAGTTAACCTTGGAGATGGAGTTAATCCGTGAGGGACCAGTTAGTCTCCACAGGAGCCCTGGATGGAGATGGGGAGAGATGGGAAGCTCCTTATAGTTGCTTTCTTTGTCCCATCATGCCTCTGAATCTACCACAGGTTCTCTTTGTAAGGCTCATCTGTGTTTGCCTTTGTTCCTTTCACCATTGAACACGTGTCATAGGTTACACTCAAACAGTACCAGCGGGAAGCAGAACAGAGTCATGTGGCCCTTCAGAGAGAGGAGGACAGAGTGGAGCAGAAATCGGCAGAAGTCGGGGAGCTACAGAGGCGCTTGCTGGGAATGGAGACGGTAATGGTGATGTTTTGGCTTCAGTGTCCAGCCCTGGGATCTGAGACTGCTTTCTCTAGTAGCTCAGCAGCATCCCTTCCTAGCAGCCAGGCACATCCCTTCTGATACCTTCCAGCACTTTAGGGATGGAAGATCGGACATCCAGCCCTGTCTCCTTTGACTACAGGTGAAAGTATTCGCACCTTAGACCTGTTGTCATACAGGTGCCTTTGGGTTTCTGAATACTCTTCTTAGCAGCCAGTCACTCCGCCTGGCTCATCCAGGACTGGCCGCCAGGGCTGGCAGGTGGGTTTGCACAACCCAGGACCTAGTTCTCCCTGCGGCAGCTGGGTGAGGCTGGGAAGTTTCTGTAAGCTGAAAGTGGAAAAGGCTATCCCTGACAGGGAGGGCGCCCATCAAACCAGCTTGGCCTGCTGCTCTTTGGCAACAGTCCCAGGCCCAGTAGCAGCCGAGTCCCTGTTCAGGTACCCATTTCTCCCCAAGCACAGACTCTGTTGTCGTGCATTCCTGCTTCAATGCCTTTCCTTTTGTCCCACGCAGGAGCATCAAGCCTTACTGTCGAAAGTCAGGGAAGGGGAGGTGGCCTTAGAGGAGCTTCGGATCAAGAACGCCGACTGCCAAGCAGAAAGAGAAAAGTAAGGGCCTTATTCACTGTAAAGCCAGGTGTAGGAAAGAGAGGGCGGGCGGTGTACCCTGCTGCCAGGGCTGGAAAGAAGCTGGCGCTGAGGTCAGACCTTCCAGTTCGAGCTCAGTGTGCTCACCTAGGGAGGAGCCCCACCCAGGCAGATACAGTTCAGAAGGCTGCCTTCTTCTTGAGCTCATTTAGCATGGGGGCAGTGACCTAAGGAAGATGATCTTATGGTTTTAGAGCTAAGGTCAGGCAGAGCCGAGGAAGCAGGGGCTGCTGCAGTTCTCCCTGCAGGAGGTTTCATTGGGCGCGTCACTCCTCAGTTTCCCACTCCTAAAGTTGAAACGCTAGAAGTTCCTGAAGGCCATGTAATTTCTCCAGGCTCTCAAGGCAGAACCAAAAGCCCCATGAGGACTTCCTGGTGCTCTCAGCAGTTCAGATAGAAACCAAGAACTCTCTGCTGATTTGCAGGCCTGTAGGGGATTGCTGAGAGTTTTCTGCCTCCAAGATTAGAAGGTTTGACAAATTTCCTCTGAGGAGAGGGGATCAGAAGACTCAGGTCGGTGGGACCCACAGAGCAAAGACTGCCTCCTCGATCTTCAGGACCCCAATAAAGTGTTGACCGAGAGTAGGGACACATACCCATAATCCTGGCACTTGGAAGGCTGAGGCATGCCAGGCATTGGTGGTGCACACTTTAATCCCAGCACTCGGGAGGCAGAGGCAGGCAGATCTTTGTGAGTTCGAGGCCAGCCTGGTCTACAGAGCTAGTTCCAGGACAGGCTCCAAAGCAATACAGAGAAAGCATGTCTTGAAAAACGAAAAACAAAAAATAAATAAAAAAGAAAGTCCGAGGCAGGAGGATTGCTTGTACTACAGAGTGAAATTCTCACTTCTCACTGAATATGTCCTCTCTGGGTGCAGTAGTGGTAGTCAGTACCCACCCTCCCAGGTACTCAGGGGGTACCGGCAGAAGGACCCTGAGATCCAGGCCAGCCTGGGCAGCTTAACAAGATTTGGTTCAAAAGTAAATGAACAACAAACAGTTAAACCTCAGTAGGCCATCGTGGGTCTGATTGTCATTGTTTCAGTGACCTTTTTCAAACTTGGTCGGCATGACCTGAAGGGCCAAGACCAGTAGACACTGTCACAGCCCCTTTGTCGCTTTAGGACAACCCAAATTTGACCTTCCTGGCATGGAAAATGCAGGCATCATTTTATCGTTAGCCCCTTTGTGGGTTGACTTCATAGCAAAGTAACTTTAGGAGAACAGTTGAAGCTGGCTCATGCCTTTGATTCTAGCGCCCAGGAGGTAGATACAGGTGGATCTAGAATTTGAGGACAAACTGGTCTACATAGCAAGATCTAGGTCACCCAGGACTTTGAGACCCTGTCTCAAAGAAAAAAAAAAGGGAAATTGGAAATTGTCTCTTTACTGAATATCTACAGTCTTTTTTTTTTTTTTTTTTTGGCTATAAATATTCTACATCAGTTTCTTCTGTCATCAGAAATCTTTTTTTTTTTCATTATTTTTTCTTTTTAAAATATTTATTTATTATGTATAGTGCTCTGCTTTATGTCTGCATGCATACTGCAGGCCAGAAGAGGGCACCAGATCTCATTACAGATGGTTGTGAGCCACCATGTGGTTGCTGGGAATTGAACTTAGGACTTCTGGAAAAGCAGCCAGTGCTCTTAACCTCTGAGCCATCTCTCCAACCCCTTTATTATTTCTTCTATTCTCACATATATTACATCCTGAGCGCCATTACCCCACCCCTGTATCTTCCTCTTCCCTACCTCCCCTCTCCCCCAGATCCAATCCCTTGTCTATCTCTCCTCAGAAAACAGCAGGCCTCCTAGAGACATCAACCCACATGGCATAATATGCTACGTGGTTGCCACTGGCCCTCAAAACAAACACTAAACAGTTATTTGTATTAGGTAGCCTAAATAATGTAGAGGTAAAATATAAGGGAGGATGCACATGTATAGGACACATGAAAATACTAGTGAGGGATGAGTCTGTAGTCATTCCCCCTTGGGTACTGAGGGATGGCTGCGGTCAGACCCCCTCCCCCTTCCTCTTTGTGGAATGTACTAAGGGCAGACTAAGAGAGAACAAGAGAAATGAAGGGTGAGATGATCCCAAACTAATGCTCTGGAATGTTTGACAGCTGCACACCCTCGTGAACCCTCGCATGGATTTAGAACGTTCCAAGTTCAGGAAGTATGTAGGCACAGGTGCATTGTAACCACCTCACCCTGAGTACCACCCATTTCTAGCGGCATGCACTTGTCTTCAGGCAGAACTGGGAGTAACCAGTGCCTGTGGCCCTTTAGGGCCCTCTGGGCATCCTTAAAAGTGACTGACTTAGAAAATGCTCAGAGCATTGTGACATCAAGCAACTTTCTACTTTTCTCTTGACACTGATTATGCATCCCACAATCTAATTCAAGGCTGAGACTACCCAGAGTTAATGTGGGCCCCACACGTCAAGGGTTCAGTTCTGCCCACACTTTAGCTGATGGTTAAAATTAGCATGCTCAGTTGCTTCCTTTGGTTCAGGATTTTTTGTAGTGGCTCATAGAACTGATGAAACAATGTTATTATGTCCGTAAAGGATTCAGGTGAACGAGAGATGAAGGGGCATAAAGGGTGAGGTCCAGAGGGGACAGCACTGCCGTCCCCAGGGGGTTGGTACATGCTGTCCTCTTGATGTGCATATGCAGTTCTGGATCCAAAAGATCTTTGAGCACTTTGACCAGTGGTTGCTCACTCCCTTACAGGTTGGAGAGGGGCTGAAGTTTAACTAGCCCCATACTGCAATTATCTACAAACCCTAGCCAATATTCCCTTTCTTAGTGTGCTTACTACACTCAGCATTTCTGGAGAGTCTAGATATCTTGTTAGGGGCTGGAAACACCAAGACCAAATACTGTATAGTAAAACATGTCTCCATCACTCCTGTGTTTGTAAATTTATAAGGGTTTGAGGAAGTCTCTTAAGAATTAAGGATAGTCAGGTGGAGGTGGCTTTAATCCTAGTACTCAGGAGGCAGAGGCAGGTGGATCTCCTGGAATTCGAGGCCAGCCTGCTCTACAAAGTGAGCACCAGGACAGCCAGGGCTGCATGGAGAAACCCTGTCTTGAACAAAAGAGTATTGGACAGGGGAGCTGGAAAGATGGCCAGGAGTAAAGAGCACTGGCTGTTCTTCCGGAGGACCTGGGTTCAATTCCCAGCACCCACATGGCAGCTCACACCTGTCTTTAACTCCTGTTCTAGGGGACCCAACAGACATACATGCAGGTAAAACACTACTACACATAGAATAATTTTAAAAAAATCATTAAAAACTTTTTTAAAAGAATTAAGAGAACAAATATTTCTTATTGAGGATCTTGGCTTTGTTTGCTTAGAATAATCCAAGTCCCTACTTAAATCCTTGGAGTAATCAGAAACTTATAACATTATGTCAAGGCAGCCAGCTCTCTCCTGGCTTTATTACTGAAAAAGTTTAATAATAATGTTAACAAAAACAAAAAAAAACAAAAAACAAAAAAAAACTTGCTCCTGGTAAGGCATGATAGTGCATGCCTGTAATTCTAGCAACTAGGGAGGCTGAAGCAAGACAACACCTGTGAGTTCAGAGCTAGACGGGTAGGTTTCAGGCTACTCTGAAGAGTGATTGGGGTCCAGACCTCGTAAGACAAAGCCGAAACAAAACACTCTGCCCCCTAGTGACATGCAAATGACTTATGCTGGCTCTCCTCATTTAGACTAGACGTCTAGTCTCTAAAGTGGTGGTGACTGGGGCACAGGGACTCACTCACACTTGGTGGCAAGTATGACTTCACCTCAGCTCCTGGTCTTTATCCCCAGGACTGCTGCTCTGGAAAAGGAGGTGGCTGGGTTTCGGGAGAAGATCCACCACTTGGATGACATGCTCAAGAGCCAGCAACGGAAAGTCCGGCAGATGATAGAGCAGGTAAAGTGGGTCCTATTTTAGCTGCTCTGTGTGCACACATCCCAAGCCCGTGCTTTCATAACTGAGTTAAAACAGCTCGTGGGAACACACATGGAGATCAGGCTTAGTGCTTCCTCTGCCCTTCCCTGACATTGTTTTTGCATTTCGTTTGGGCTTTCCCATTGGAAAAGGAAAGGAGCTGGCCTCACTTACACTCTCAGTCCTTTTGGTAAATGAGTCATAATAAACCCAGTTATCTGTGAAGACCATCAGTGTTTGTTCCTCTGCCTGAGCTTCAGCCCTGTTGGGAGACTGTTCCTAAAGTTCTCCCTGAAACGGGAAGGATCATTTCCTCCCTTCCAGCCAGCCCCCTTTACATGTGTTTTGTTTACTGCCATTTCTCATTGTCTAGAACGATATCTATGATGTGGTAAGCACTCAATGAATGTCTCCTAGGTGAATGAATAAATAATTCACACTTGCAGAACCCGAAGGACTAGGTTCTGCATCGTCTGCTATACGCTTTGGATTTACAGATGGCACTTCCTCTCACTCTACCATCCCAGCTTCTGGGTTCATGAGTGATGAAAATAAAGGTTTTATAGAAACATCAATGAAACTTGAGAGGAGCAGAGCTGGCTTCCCTGTAGTCAGAGTGGGGTTTGGTGAGCATGTACAGAGTCTTTGCAGAATGAACTCCATGTTTCTTTCATCCTCACAGCTCCAGAATTCAAAAGCAGTGATCCAATCCAAGGATACCACCATTCAAGAGCTCAAGGAGAAAATTGCCTATTTGGAAGCTGAGGTTTGTGTATGGAATAGCCCCCAACAGAGAACTGGCCATGGCGGGGGGGGGGGGGGGGGTGGTCCTGTCCAGCAGCTGCTTGGACAGTAGCTGGGAGTGTTGTTCCATGGCCGTTTGACTAGAGAGAGTCCAGGAAGCAGCTTTTGATGGTAAGGCTGTCCCTGCCAGAGAGGGCAGAGCGTCATGGTGCAAGCCACCACCCATGGCACATCTTGACCACGTGAGCTTTGCTGACAGTGGGGCCAGGCTTTGAAGGAAGAGGGCACATTCTATAGCCGTGTCTCCTCAAAGCTCTGGGGAAGGGCCCAATCAACTACCAAAGTGAATTCTTAGTCTAATTTCTGCTCCGCTGCAGAGCCCTTCCTGTCTGTTGACCGCCTTCAGGTCACTTTGCAATCCTCTGTGTGAAGATTCCTGTAACAGGGGAGACAGATATGAGACAGGGTATTTAGACAAAGTATGGTCTAGAGCTGAGATAAAATATGTTGGGAAAAAACCAAACCAAACCAAAATTGTATGGGCTGGAGAGACGGCTCAGCGGTTAAGTGCTTGCTGCTCTTCCAGAGAACCTGAGTTCAGTTCCCAGCACCCACATCTGGCAGCCCACAATCACCTATATGTGCAACTCCTGGGCATCTGACACATTTTTCTAGACTCCGAAGGCACCTACCTGTGTGCATGTGGCATACACTCACACAGATGTACATATGAATTAAAAAGTAGAAGTAAAAACAACAATAAACTAAAGATATTTTAAAAACTAGGCTGTAGACAAAGGCATACCACTATTCCACCTGAAGACAAGAAGCTAGTGTTAGTCGGACGGTCGTGGTACATGCCTTTAATCCCAGTACTCGAAAGGCAGAGGCAGGCGGATCTCTGTGAGTTTGAGACCAGCCTGGTCTACAAGAGCTAGTTCCAGGACAGACCCCAAAACCACAGAGAAACCCCTGTCTCAAAAAACAAAAAAAAAAAGAAAGAAAGAAAAGAAAAGAAGTGACAAGTGTTGCTGAGGAGCAAGTTCTAGAGGCAGAGAGTGACATGTAATGATGGGGATGAAGGGAGAGGGCAGCCCTGGTGGGGGCGTACTGGTGGAGATGGAGTTAACAGGAGCGTGTGGCAAGCCAGAGAGACCCACTGTAACCAACGCTTGCATTTCAGAACTTAGAAATGCATGACCGCATGGAGCATCTGATAGAGAAGCAGATCAGTCACGGAAACTTCAGCACGCAGACCCGAGCCAAGACAGAGAACCTGGGCAGGTGAGTACATGCAGCGTGTGGGCCCAGGCAGGAGAGCCAAGGAAACTTGTAAAGCCTTTGGCGCTGAGGCAAGGAAGACTTAAATTCAGCTTTCTGCCCCAGCCTCCGATCCTACTTCACTCAACAGGCTACTTTCTAGCTTCTGGAAGCATGTGAACCTCTGAGACTGTTCGTAAAATTTGTTTATAATATTTGCACACTGCAAATTTGTACCATGTATTTGCATATTTCTAGAGGAGAGTCTTTTGTTTCTAAGAGATTCACAAAAAGGCCTCAAATCTTGAGGGGAGGGGAATCAAGAATCTCAGCTATATCCACTTTTCAGTTAACTGTCCCTATCTTTATCACCCTTGCCACCAGATACATATTACTGAAAATCACTGCTCTGAGCTCTTAGAACTCAAGAGACAAGTCAGACAAGTGTAGTGTTCCAGAGACACCGTGGAGGGCAGGCTCTGTGAAGAGGGACACCCTAGCACAGCCCTCAATGTTTACTCCTTTTTCTCCAGTGTCAGGATATCCAAGCCTCCCAGCCCTAAGCCCATGCCTCTCATCCGAGTGGTGGAAACCTGAGCTTCAGGAGGTGGATGCTGCTGTTGCTGCTCGGACCTGCAGAGAAGCCCACCACCCCGTAGGCTGTTGATACTGACTCTGACTTCCTGATAGTACCCTGGTGGCCCCAGGTCTTGGGCTTATGCCCCAGGCTCCTGTCCTCTGCTTGCTGGCAGGTGGAGCAGAAGTCTGTCTCCTCCGGACATTGCAGGCCTTGGGAAGACATTCTCCTGCTAGCAGGGACAGGACAATCTGCTTACTCCCAGTTACTGTTTTTCGGTGTAACAGAGCTTCCCTGCTGCGTACACTGGAATCTAGCTGCCCCAAAGCCAGGCCCTCATCAAGTCCAGAGAAGTGACAAAATTTGTCTCGGCCCCCAAAAGCCGGAAGTGCAGATGTACAGTGATTGGAGCAAGTCCCGAGGGTATGAAGTTCCTTCTGCAAACACAGCTCAGTTCTTAGCAACAAACTGTTTTTCTAGTTAGCTCCACCCCTGTGCCATGCTGTCGGCCTCCCACAGTCAGCTAATGGAGGCTAGCAGGCCAGGCCTGGCTGGTCTCAGCCAGTGAACCTAAACCATGGGGACAATGTACATTCAGGGAGCAGGTTTTTAGCAGGAAGGTTCTTTGGGCCATGAAAAGTTGATGTGACTTCTCCCCACTTTGGAAGCTCCCAGTCTTTAGGTTTTCCCTGTAGTGTCCTGAAAGGCACACCTCAGTCTTCCTGACCCAGAGCTAGAACTGCTTCATCAGTCTCAGCAAAACCATCACTGTATTTATTTGTTAAGTTATTGCTGGTTTTGCTTACATCTCAGAGTTGATTCAGTACCAATGCTCTGCAGTCTCCTGCTGAGGTGTTTGGGCTTACCCGGATGTGGGGAGAGTATTCTGGTTGGCTCCCTGGGCCTTCCCTCTAGCTGCTGATTTTCCTTTCTTCCTCCTGAGTCAGTCTGCAACTCAGGAGGCTAGTTTCTGCCCCCAAGTGTGTGCTGTCCGGGGAATAGGGCAATCAGGACTGTTTTGGGGGCAGGGGTGGGATCTTCTAACCTCTCCAAACCCTTCCACCCCATAACAATCTGTATCTCAGCTCCAAATGACCCTGCAGCTCATTGCGTTTCCTATAGTGTGCTCTAGTAGCCTCAAGAACATTCAAGCTCCTGAATGTGGGGTCATGGGAACAGCTTTAGTCCTCGATCTACTTGGCTTGCCTTAAGTCTGTGTATTTCTGTGTCAGGACCAGGCAGGACCTGGCTTTGTCTGTATAGTATCCTGACACTCCAGACAGTCTCTTCACAGTATGAGGGTATGGAACATGATCTCCATGCCCCTTCAGATTCCTTTCCTTTCTGTGACACAGCCGTTGTATGGTGACTTTAATAAATTATGCTCATATGTCTCTTTACTCCATGGGCCTAAGTCTCCTTTTACTTCTTGGAGAGGATGAAAGAACATAATACACTGTCTCTTGAAGGTGAAATCCTGTTGTCAACATCTGAAAGGGATATTATAGCTCTCTCAGACTATGATATAAGGGTGTTGTGAAATTTAGAAGTTACAAGCCACCAGGTCCCGTGGTCTCTAACCCTAGCTTTGACCCTGTTTGGAGCAGTGGCTTGTGAAATCCTGAACTTGGCCATTCTGTGTCCTGATTTGGAGCCTGCACAGAGGGACACCAGTCACAGCAGAGGTGTGTGAGGAGCTCACAGCCTTTGCAGAAGTGGCAGGTCCCTGGAAATGTTGACTGCAACTCTTCAAGAGTTCATTAGTTTCTGGCAGTCTCTGGATATCATTGGGTTAGTATAGCATTTCCCCCCCTTTCTGCCAGGAAACTAGTTGGCTGCAGGGCCAAACAAGACAGCTGAATTTACACAAACTCTCCTGGGCCAAGGAAATGGGAAAGAACACTCCCCTGTTGCCTGGTCCCTGTGGTTTCCCTTTCTCTTTCAATTGGGAATGTAGGTTTTGGTCCCCTGCTTCCTCAGCTGATTCAGTGTGCACTGGAAACATTCCACCCCAGATGTGGATCTGTCTCCTGACTCCCGGGTTTCTCTTGCCCTGGCAGTCTAGCTTGGCACAGGTATATCCAGACTGCTTGTCTCAGAGTATTAACAGGGTGGAAGCAGGGTGGGGTTGGCAAGGGTGCCAAGAAGACTGGCCTGGCTGGAGGATGCAGGAGTGAGTGTACTGCCCTGCAGGAAAGGGAGGCTCTCCCACAGGGCCTGCTGGGCTACACGGGAGGAGCAGAGATGCGGGGTGCAGATAAGAGGTGGGGGCAGGAGACTTTCTGGAGACCAGAAGCAAGGCTCTAAGAGATTCTTTAGACAAAAATGTGTGTGTGTATGGAGGGCATCTTTGGCAACTGCTTCGTCTGCCACTGTGTGCTGCTGCTAAAAGGAGCAAGGCCAAAGAGGATGCAGGAGAGTGGCTGGGCAACCACTCAGCATCTTGACGGTTTCCGGTTAGCGATGCTGACTGGACTGAGGAGGTAGCAAGCTCCTGGCTTCGGCCGTTTTTTATTGCCTGTGTTTTGTGGTGTTTTAAGCCAACTCCTGTATGCAGCCTGAGGGAGGCTTTGAGTTCTGCCTCTCTGGGATCTTTGCCATGAGGGTGTTAAGAGCTGCCCAGACATGCAGCCATCATTGCCAGCCTGGTGTGGGAAAAGAAGCCCACAGGAGCATTTGCTCCCTGCCTTCACAACAACCGTCCATATTCCAGGGCTTCGTTTTTTGCCTTGCACTGAGCAGAAAAGAGTAGTAACACATGCCAACTGTTTTGACCAGGTGGAGTATGTTAGCCTCAGCTGCTTTGGTGATGCAGCAGGAGAACTGAAAATTTAAGGGCAGCCTAGTCAACTTAGTAAGACTCTGTCGCAAAATAAAACCCTACCAAAATAAAGAAAAAAGAAAAAGAGCCCAGAGCATAGCGGTGCACACCTTTAACCCCAGGACTTGGGAGGCAGAGGCAGCTTGATTTCTGTGGGTGGAAGGGCCAGCCTGGTCTACACAGTGAGTTCCAGGCCAGACAGGTTTCTAAGGTTCAAAGATGATTTGTTCATTTTTCTTTGTGTCTTTGTACTCTGTCTCTCTGTTTCTTTGGGTCTCATTATGTAGCTCAGGCTAGCCTCAGATTCACCATCCTCCTGCTTTACCCACCACCTCCTCAAGTGCTGGGACTTCAGGGTACACCTCCACACCTTGCTCTGTCCCTGTTTTAAGTCACTGTTCACCATTCCACCGTGAAATGTTTCCACACTGGGTGGAAGCTCTACCTGACAGGGAACTTACTTTAACAGGAGAGGCTGACAGCCTCTGCATGGGACAAGCCATGTTCCCTCTCCAGCCATCTCCTGGTTCTGAGCAGCTGTTTTCAGTGGGGCTTGTGTGATCCTGAGCTCTCTGCTTCCGCAGAGCACACTGTGAGCGAGTGCCTGCGTCTGTTCAGGCTATGACTCAACAACAGATGTTAGCCTAGGGCCCTTGGCCTCTTCCACGCTTTGGTTTAGAGCTCTGACTTTGCAAGGAGCAATTGTTCCCCCTGTTCTGTCCCAATTATAAGCATGTGGCCTTGAAACTCAAAAGTTGGAGACCCAAATATCTCCCCTTTCCCAAGGAAAATGTGTATCCAGGCTGAGGATAAAAGAAGTCATTCTTAGAAATAAGTACTTTTGGGCTCACCAAAGCCGACTTGGGACTCTTAAGATGTGTGTGGCCTTTATGCTAGAATCTCTTTTCCTGGAGGCCTGTGGACAAAGAGATTGAGGGTAGATGGAGGCAGGATAATGAATTTCCAGGGTGTTGGTCACCCTGGAAAGTCTTAAACCGCAGGACCTCTGAGCACACTTGAGCTGTCACAGGCCCAGCCCTTCCCTCCCTGTCACTAGGGTTCTGGGCCCTTCTGTCTGCCCTGTATCTTTCAGTGTGGTTTTGCATTTTAACTGACATGCTATATAAATTTTCAAAACGCATTGCTCAATTAAAAAAATGGACTTCTCACCTTGACTTTATAATCTCAGCGTCAGTAACCAGCCTTCATCTACTCTGTCCCCTTTACAATCTCTCCCTTTCTCCCCCTCTTCCTCCCTCCCTCCCTCCCTCCATTCCTTCCTCCCTCCCTCCATCCCTTCCTTTCCTCCTTACCTCCCTCCCTTCCTTTCCTTCGTCCCTCTCTCCCTCTTTCCTCCCTCCCTCCCTCCTTCCCTCCCTCCATCCCTTCCTCCCTCCCTCCATCCCTCCCTCCCTTTCCTTCCTCTCTCCCTCCCTCTCTCCCCTCCCTCTCTCCCCTCCCTCCCTCCCTCTGACAGGGTCTCATTATATACACAGGCTGATCTTGAACCCTGGTTCTTCTCCTATGTCAGCCTCCTATGTGCTACAACAACAGGTGTTGTCATCAGACTTCAGTTTCTCTGCTTTCTCTTAGTACAATCATAACCCTTTAGACTAGACATTTTCAGCCATCTTCGACTCCTCTTTCCATTTCATAATCTAATTATATCTGGTTTGTCAACATGCCAAAGTTCTCTCTATTGGAAAATCTCCCGTGTGGCCTGACCCATGCTAGCAACTCACCCTTAGCTTGTTGCCTTAAGCCTGGATTACACCTGTAGCCATACCTTGCTGCCTGTGTCTCTAGTTACCACCAAAGATTTATTGGAATCTTGTCTAAAAGTAACAAGCACTTGCCTAAGGCAGCTCGCTCACAGCTGCCTGTAATCGCCGCTTCAGAGGGCCCAGTGACTGTGCACAGACCCATGCACACATTGCAAATAATAAATGTAAGTCTTTTAAGAAAAGAAACTACAGAGATTGTTATTGCTAGGAGATGGAGCAAAAGGGGGTAAAGGAAGAGGTTTAGCAATAATAAATAAGGGGCTAGAGAGATGACTCAGAGGTTAAGAGCACTGGATGCTCTTCCAGTGGTCTTGTGTTCAATGGTGGCTCACAACCATTTGTAATGAGATCTGGTGTCCTCTTCTGTCAAGGAGGCAGAACACTGTATACATAATACATCTTAAAACCAAAACCAAAGCCAAAGCAAAACAACAAAAGGGCTGGGTGTTGGTGTCACATGCCTTTAATTCCAACACTCAGGAGGCAGAGGAAGCTCTGAGTTCGAGGCCAGCCTGGTTTACGGAGCTAGTTCCAGGACAGGCTCCAAAACAATACAGAGAAACCCTGTCTCGAAGAAACAAAAACAAAAAGGAAGAAAACCCCACCCCTATTATATGTACAGTATTGAGCCAAGTGCTATAGGACGGACTGTGGGGTGAGTAGGCTCCAGAATCTTGTTGGGTGGCAGAGGCTTTGGTGAACTTCTCAGTGTCTCTGTCTGAGCCAGTAAGATATTTTTTATTTCCCAGGCCAATTGCAGTGACATTGTCTCTGAACTGCCTCCTACCTTATTCCACCTAACACAAGATCTCCAAGGGCAGGACCACACTGTAGGAAGCTATAGTCCTTCCTAAATCCTCCAAGACATGGTGCCTCATGGAGGGGAGGAGCTTAAATGAATATGTGCAGAAAAAAGGCTGTGATGTGATCTCTTTTGAGCTATCCTGGCCATGCACTTAGTGGGACTTTAGTATTCCTTGTTTATGTTTATTGACTAAATGTTGCCACTGTCTTTTTTTTTTTTTAATGCATTGCTGTTTTGCCTGCATGTATGACTGTGTGAGGGTGTCAGGTCCCCTGGAACTGAAGTTATAGACAGTGGTGAGCTGCCCTGTGGGTGCTGGGAATTGAACGTGGGTCCTCTGGAAAAACAGCCAGTGTTCTTAACCACTGAACTATCCCTCCAGCTCCACCTATTGTGTTTTTAACTTCATTACTTAAAAATAATCCAAAATCTCAGTTTATATTTTTGGGCTAAAATGTTTCCCTTTGTGATCTTGATAAAACCATTTTTTTTTTTTTTTTTTTTTTTTTTTTAGTTTTACTTTATGTGTATAGTTGTTTTGTCTGCATGTGTGTCTGTGTACCAATCCCCTGGAGCTGGAGTTGTATGTCTTACTATTTGTCAAGCCTAATTCTCTGCCAGTTAAGCTCTGTCAAAGGGTTTGCTTTGCTTTGCTGTCTGTGTGGTGGTCAAACTCAGGGTTTCATACACTTGAGGCAAAGGCTCTATAAAATGAGGTGTGTCCCAGTGTCTTTAAGCTTTGTTATTTTTTCCTCTTTATTTTCCAGATGAATTTTAAATAATTATATCCTAATATAAAAAGTATTATATTGAATTAAAATGTAATTTACTGTAATTACAGAAGCCAAAAAATAGATAAATTTTAAAAATTAAACAGCTTTATAATTTGACTATTCCCAATGATTTTGTTTTAAAATTTTGTGTGTGTGTGTGTGTGTGTGTGTGTGTGTGTGTGTGTGTGGTTTAGGGAAGCAAGTTTAATTATCATTG